TTACTTTTGGACAATTTAGTCCAAAAGTAAATTCTTTGCATTTGAATTCAAAGTTCAAGTGTTCGATTCTATCAACTGTGTAGTGTTCTTTTGTGCTTTGCTTCTTTCTGTTCTATCCTTATCTCTCGCAGCTAATATTTTATAATAACATCATAAAATCCATTAAAGTATCATTTTTGAATTATTTTCATTCTAGAATATATTGGTAAAAGTTATGTGTTTAAAAAACACTTAAAAGCATAGTAAGTCATCTAACCAAGATGTATCGGGCTTCGAATTATGTGTAAACTGCCTTTTGTACACTTTATGGTTGTGCCGTTAAATCGTGAAATGATGTCTATGATAGACATAGTCTTATTTCTTAAATTATTTATGTAGTTATTTTTTGTCATATTTATTTATTCAAATTTGTTTTATGTTCTGTCTAACATAGACGATGTTTATCCGGGAGAAAGTGTGTGTATCATATCATGTTTTTACTGCACACAATTACAGTACGTAATAAACTATTACTACTAAAAAATTGAGTAGAAAACTAAGAATGTACTTGACACAATGGAAAACGTTGAGGCTCACTAATGCATGTTTGTGTGAAGCATTAAACCAAATAAAGTCAGAAGATAGAATAGATGAATAATTCTGGTTACCACCGTAGAAAGGCCGTCAGAACTGTTCAGAAGAAACAAAAAAAGTTTTAACTAAAGTTTTTGCCAGAAACTACGAAAGAGGTTGCATGATGGAGATAGGGTATTGGAACCAAAAATATTTTCCATTTATGTTATCGTTTACTTTCATATAATTAAAATGATTTTGAAAAATCTTACATACTGAAATTTAACTTTTCAACTTAAATAAATCACGTTTTCTTTAAACTTCTAAATCCCATTACATCTACTAATGATAACTAGTGAAAAACATCATTATTCGTACTATGAAATATATTATTTGGCCCTGCAATGCTTTAGCAAGAATCAGCAAAAATATAAAGTTAAAGCCGCTTCTGTGTCTTCTTTGTAGGAAATTGTATTTTGAGAGAATGTCATTCGTATAAGGGTTCTTTAATAATATTTCGAAACCCGATTAAATTAGCAATTTTTCAAATATGAAATTAAATGCATTGTACGTAAATTCTTTCTTGTCAAAACCTTGTGAGTATTAAAAAATTAAAAAACCGAAAATCAGAACAGATGTACATTTTTCCACGCCTCCCACTGTTGCCGAGGGGCTAGACTGAATGTCCTCGATGAACGACCTTTTGGTGGTTTATTGGTGAGAAAGACATTAAAAGTAAATGTATCTCATATATTACACTGTTTACTTAAAGGCTTATGGTATTAGTCAGATACATGGAAACAAATATCTTGCTGTTTGGAAATGGATATTTATTATTGAAGGCATACCAACAATATGCTTAGGAATTTTAACGGTAATTTTTCTTGTTGACGCGCCTGCAGAAACAGTTAAATGTAAGAATAGTAAGACCTTTTCAAGAGATGTGCGACATCAGACAAGCTTAGTTACGAACGTAAAAAAGAATTTCAGACTTTGACCCCGGTCTCTTGAAAATAACATTTAGGTCCACAGTTTCACGAACCTTTGTTTCAACTAAGTTTTAAACAATTTGTTGTACAGGAAATAGTATTTTGGCGTAAAAACACATAACAATCAGAAAAATTTTCCTAGAACGCAAAAAGTGGCTTCTACGCATACGTTTTCAAAAATGTAGTCCTGTTCCCGATCCGATAACTTTTTAAAGAACTGGTTCAATCGTGAGACCGTGGTAGTATTACACATGTCTAATTTCTTAATTTAATCCCTATGTGTAGTGATGTTATAGTTATACAGGGCTGAGTACAAACGAACAAGATATATTGATAAATCATTTAAAAAAAGATGAGAATGTGACGGGTGGAACAGAGTTTTTATGGAAACAAATATATTGTGCCTTCATTGACTGGAAAGTCCATTTATATATGTTAATCGATTTTAGTGTATGTACTCCGTTGTACAGTTTAAGCTTCTTTTTACCTACTCTCCTAGAAGGTATGAGCTATTCGAACACGAACTAACTTCTCTTATTAATACCCCACATATGATTGCTGCAATAACAATTATATTTACTGCTTATCATGCTGGATATAAAAATGAACGTACTTATTACATAAACGTATTACTTATTCTTGGAATAGTTGGTTTTATATTCTTAATCAGCATAGAAGAATGCTCGAATTTTAAATATATTGCTTCTATATTAGCCTGTATGGGCACATGTACAATACTTCCGCTGATTCTATCATGGGCTACTGCCAATATTGGAGGACAAAGAAAACGTGCTGTTGCTTCGGCTCTTATTATTGGTTTTGGAAACATCAGCGGAATAATAGCGGGACAAGTATACACGATTACTCTTATACGCCCACAGTATCTATTATCAGGATCTAATGTTATTTAGTCCTCATCATGGTTCTTCTATTAAAATTTCTGTTGAAACGTGAAAAGAAACGTCGTGAACTATTAGACGGCAGAAGACTTGCTGCAGAAGATACAGAATATGCATCAACAGATAAGGTAAAATTCATTTTTCTTTTGTTTACTTTGTATATACATTCAATTTTTCTTTGTTCTTTCTTAGCATCGCAGTTTCAGTTATATATTATGATAATAATGTAGCTATGTTACGAATTATTTATGTACAATGACATCTAAGACTGACAAAATTCGTGTGCACCAATTGAAGGTGAAGTTAATCTGATGTGCTGATTTCTTTTACTCAATCATTCTTTTGAGGATGGGTACTGGTATTATATCTATTTCTGTAATCGTAGTCTATTTTACCTGCTCTATATGTTTTTTTACTTGAGAATAGTAAAAGACATTGCTGTACTGCGGAAGATTTCTAGAAAGGCCTTTCAAAAGCTAAAGTATTTTTTGCTGACTTTTATAGGTTTTATTGAGCTGCATCATATAGAGTAGGTAAAATAGAGTACATCTTGATATTCTAACGTAATTTTGATGCATCTTGTCCGGGTTATGAGTTTTTACTTTTTACTTTTACTCAAATATTCGTATTGAAGCTTCTTGTATTGAAAGTCCATTTATTTGTTGCAGGCATGGGCGAGTCCGGGAGGGACCGAGTCCGAGTCCATTTCGAGTACGGTAATCTTTTAGATTCTTTTTTTGATGATTGTGGTTCATTTCTTTTTTTTTCTGTGCCATTTAATATATCAATCTTGTTGAAACAGAAAAAGTTACTAAAGTAAACTTCTATTACATTTTAACAATGCCAGTTGAGATAGATTA